TCTGATTTAGCAACTATAACCAGTCATGGAGGCTTGTCACGCTTTAGATCCCTCATATGCAGATGTGATGTGCATTAGGCTCTAGTAAGAGCAATACTGAAAGGGTAACTTTGGTCATTTGTAACCTGAACCCTATTTTTCCATGTTTTTGTGTCCAAGTGATGAATGAAAGTTGGCAGCCTGGAAACAGGCTGCAATGTAACCACTGGTACCAATGCCTCGTCAATAAATGTCTACTAAAAGTGTTTGTTTTTGCCACTGACAGGCTCAGATTATTACTGTCTGACAACATTATGAAAATGATCCAGACAGAGACAGACCTTTTTGTAGAATACTAAGACATTTTTTATTTAACCAGAGGCAGCCCTGAATTTGCTGTAGCCAAACCCACCAGACTCCATTGAGATAAACATTAATTTTAGCGTTTGTAGAACCAGCGTATTTTCTCGTCTGTCTGGGTGAATTAAGGGTTCATTTCAAACAAATGAGAGTTGATCATTGTGAGAAAAACGAACCAAAATGTTCTTATTTGTTGAGTATTATTTGGTTTCAGTCTACTTTTAATAATTATAGTATTATATGTGATGTGTTTTTTGCTTTACTGCAATATGTTTTGACCTGTTTTACACGCTGTATTTTGTTGTTGTTTTTAATTTGTCTAGGATGCATTTTTACAGCTGGCAAAGGGACTGCCGATGAAAACTAGCCTTTCAGCTAATTCGGGTGCATTGACATATGTTCAAAAGTTGATTAATGTAAACTGACCCTTTTCATAAATAAATAAAATATGAGGATCAATTTTTTCTTTATTTAAATGGAGTCTGGTGGATTTCACAATAGTGATTTCGGGGCATTTTCTTATTTTATGAAAAGGATCCTACTTTCAGGAAAGAGGTCTGTCTCTGTAGGGATTCTTTCTATTATGTTGTCTGACAAGTGCAATAACAATCTGAGCCTGTCAGTGGCAAAAACAAGCACTAGTGGGCGCTCGTTGACGTGGCCTATGCCGTCTTTTTCGCGTCTCCCGTCTCGCTCAATGCTGGACCAACTTCTAAAAAACTAATGTTTGCCTCATTATTCTCTTTGACACAAAAACATAATAAAATAAGTTTGAAAAAAAAATACTGACGTCACCCTTTAAAGGTATTGCAAGTAGGTCTTTCCAAACCCAAAAACCCAGGAACATTACTAATAACATTACACAAAGCTAATTTGTGTTGCAATGGGCCAAAAGATTATATATCAAGCTGACGTTTTAATGCATTTACTATATAACGTTCCATCTCTTTGTCGTTAAGCCTTAAGGCCTCTGGACACCACATCTCATCAGCGTGCTCTTTACAGAAATATCCTACTTCTATGTGCACTTGTTTACCTCGACTGTGGACTCAATTAGCTGTTGGTGTGCACTGTATGACTGCCTAATGGACTGTATGGCACTTGGACTTCTCACCAATGCACCACTGTAGTGCTAATGATATAGAATAGATACACATTAGCCTCTCCTGACGTTTGTTTATACGACAGATTGCAGATTGCTTGGTAACAGAACATAATGTATTTCAAGTTGCAGGAAGATTGTTATCTTCACCATCAAGGCCGACGCCGAGGAAAAAGAAATACACAACAAAAAGCAACATTTTATCCCACAACAAGGCTCGCATTGTAGCGACTGACAGAACGGAGTCCAGATGGTCCCCGAAGGGTGAAGCTAGGGGGGTGAGAGACTGCGTGTGAGAGAGTGTGTGTGAAACAGGGACGGATGTAAATGTCCATGTTTGCTTGTATGTGTAGTCAGGCGTGTGTGGTTGAGTAGGTGTGTGTGTGTGTGTGTGTGTGTGTGGGAGGGCATGCATGCCTCTCTGCGTATCTATGTAAATCAATGTATGTTGTGTATGGTATGTGTGTTTTCTGCATATTTCTGTATGTGTGTGTGTGTGTGTGTGTGTGTGTGTGTGTGTGGACATCTGTTGTACCCCTCTCTCTCTCACTTCCCATCCCACACTCAGGTCGGTCCTTCTGTCTCTGTTACATCTAACAGTAGGAAATGGCAGGAGGTAAAAGAAGCGACCACTAGTACGCATGTGTGTCTATGTGATGTGATGTGTGTATCTCGTTTCTTGAGAAAAGTGTGTGTGTTTTTGTGTGCGTGTGTTGTGTGTGCTTCTGACAGCCCATCCACCAGATGGGAGCTGTGATGTTCAGGCTTTTAATTGTATATCTAAGGGACTGATTGGCGTGTGTGGGTGTGTCTTTTTTTCCATTCCCGTAGGATTTAAACAAGTTAAATAAAGTTGAAGTATCTCAGACAGAGACAGAGAGAGAGAGAGGATTGGAATGAGCTCTGATGAGGCCCAGCAGGCTGAAACGTTAGCATGTTTTGCTTTACTTGGCCAAAAAAAAAAAAAAAAAAAAAGGTCAGTCGAGATCAGTCAACTTTGTTCTGAAGACCTGTCTGTGTGCTACCTTTTTACCTTCAACATTAGAGTGAAATGAACTTTGGTTTAGCACCACAGTCAGATACAGGGAAGGTGCATCCTCTCAAACACCTCACTACTAGACTTGAAAGATCGTTTGTGGGAATAGGTTTTGATATTCCTGTAAGTAACCCATTCAGAAAGCATAAAAACTGCATGCACATGACAAAGGCCATGAACTCAACGCCAGAGAAATAAGGTTCAAGGCAGAGATGAGAATCTTCTGATGATTTATAATATTTAGGTCAATGTACTGTCATTATGAAAGGGACTGAACTCCCCCTACATCAAGAGGGTTTCTAGTTTAAGCACAGGGTGTGGGAGTTTGCATGTTCTCCCCGTGTCAGCGTGGGTTTTCTCCAGGTACTCCGGCTTCCTCCCTCAGTCCAAAGACATGCAGGTTAACTGGTGACTCTAAATTGTCCATAGGTGTGAATGTGAGTGTGAATGGTTGTCTGTCTCTATAGCCCCTTTTACACTGCCAGATTTTCCGCGAATGACACACAGAGCCGGATTGGCGAGTTGATCCGAGGTGCCCAATTTTACGCCTCGTAGGGTAGTCATATTGGCGGAACCCTTTTAGTTTAAAAAAGGCCGAGGCGGCCTTCTGCCACGGGAGGGGCTGTTGGAGACTTGTGGGAGGAGCTGTTGATGACGCCGCACGACGCGACCCACTGGTGGTGGATAAGCAGGAATTAGCGAGCAGCTAGTAGCAAGAGGGAAACACAAACCTGACAGACACTGTAAAGATGAGCAACTGGGGAGACAAAGAATTGTGCACCCTCCTTGTCCTCGCAAACGAAGAGGCCATTAACCGTCAGATGACAGGAACGGTGAAGAACGGGCTGACTTACGAGAAAATCGCCGAAGGACTTCCCTCCCAAGTCACTGTTTATGTCATATGCTGAGCTACACATTTTGTTACTTGCTCACGCCCCCCATTGCCCCAACAAAGGCGCATTCTGTATTAAACAAAAGTTTGCTGCACTCCCCGATTTTGTTTTTATACTGCCAGTGCTGAAAGAAGACTGATTGGGCTTTCCTGCAAATTTGCACAATTCCTGTTCAAAAAGGACTATTGTATCAGCCCTGTGATAGTCTGGTGACCTGTCCAGGGTGTACCCCGCCTCTCACCCAATGTCTGCTGGGATAGGCTCTAACACCCCCATTACCCCCAAAAGGATAAACGGTTACAGAAAATAAATGAATGCCCCCCCCTCCCCCCACCCCCCCACCCCCTCCAAAAATTCTGCTTTGTTTTGACGTTGAAGACGACTGGTTAGTCTTGTGTACCTTGTCCTTTTAGACGAATTAAAGGGGTTTGTATCAGGAGCACCTGCTTTGTTTTAGCACAGTCAGTTGTATTCTGTTGCATCTTCATCTTTGAGCTGTGGAGGGGATAAACTGTTATGAAATGTGAAACGTTTCTTTCTTATTGAAAACTGTGGATTTACTCATCAGAGAACATTTAAGACCTAAATATCTTGATGATGTCTGGATGTTTGTTGTTGCTGAATGTCATGATAATTTAGGCAAATCATGGTGTTCAGGATTTTTTCTTCTGAGGTAGCTATATTCGGCATTCACAGAGCTAGTTTATTTTCCTTTCATTTCAGCCCAACTGTACCTAATTCAAATTTTTTTTTTGTTATCTGGCAACATTTCAGAAGATTTGTTGAAATGGTCTTGGCTGGCACATTGTAGCTTCAGGGGCAGTTGATGAATGTCTGAGTTCAGTGTTTTATTTTCCTTCAGTAGCAGCGAGGAGGCATTTTCACACTGCCAGACAGCTCTCAGAGCCCTGATGTGGTTTTTAGCTGGCTTCTGAATTAAAGACAAATTAAAATAGAGGATTCAGTCGTGTCATCTTTCATGTCCTTAATTGTTGTCGGTGTTTGGTTGGATTGAAGGTGGTGAAGAGGTTCACTCGGATTTGGTGATTGAAGCTTTGTCTGGAAGGAGAACTTACTAGCTCTGCTTTCTGTTCACCCTCAACATCACTTTTTCTTCAGAGCAAACAGGGCAATTCAGTCAATTTATTTATGACATAAAGTCATATAAAATACAGTTCAAGTGAATGTAATCCTGTCAGTTCCTTCAATTTGTACATGTAAAAAAGACTATAGCAATGAATATATGTGTATGATTTGGAAAATTTATTGAAAATGTGAACGTGTCTTTGTGTTGTCAGTTAGCCTGTTGTCAAACTTGATGTGTCTTTAATATTCAAAATATAATCTGGCAAAACTAAATCAGCCCACTAGACTGAAGAATCTATTTGAGGAGGAGGAGATTTTCTCCAAAGTGCAGTCAGAGGGATATTAAAATGCATATCGACAGCTAATCCTGAAGAAGACCTTAAGCAGGATCAGAGCTCATCCAGCCGACTGTAGTGTGAAGTAAACACACTCACCAACTTGTGCTATTGTTAAACCAATATGTGTTACTTTATGTAATCATGTAGAAATGGTGCCATTAGAAAAATTATAATTGATGTTAAATATGCTGTCTCCTCTCCTGCAGCTTGTCAGTGCCATACGAATGGCTCTGTATCTGAGATCTGCGACAAGGAGACCGGAGGGTGTGAGTGCAAGAAGAACGTGGTTGGACGACAGTGTGATGAGTGCATGGTGAGTATAGTGACAGATGCCAATAATCTTTACAGATATTGTAAATGCGTTGGCGCCATTCCTGTGCAGCCTTTTTATTTGTATTTTGCCTTATTTTTGTACTTTTTCTACTCTATGCTGATTTATGTTCCGTCAAATTGTAATTCACTACTAATAATTACTGTTGTGCTATAAATGAGTTAGTATAAGGAGTTAAGGGAATTTAGAGACCCTTAAAGTCCTTCTTACTCATCAGTATCCTGCAGATATCAGTTTGTTATGTATATTTTTACATTTTCCTGCACCTCAGTTTTTGCTATGTCAGCTGTCAGGCCTGGTTGCCTCATGATTAGTAACGTCACACGTGCAGCATTAGATTAATATTCCACTCAAATCGGTTATTATTGTTTAAAGGGGACCTATTATGCTGTTCCTTATTTTCTGTCATATATATAACGACTGTGTACAATATATTTTCAGGCAAGATATAAATTTAGACAATACCGTTTATATCGAAATAGGGTCAAGTTGCGTTACATAACACATACCAGATTTCATTTCTCGTCTCTCACACTCTCGTCACAGCTCCGCCCCATACACTCACTCACAAGTTCTCCATCAACACTCAGAGAGACACAGAGCTGCTCCTCTGTTTAATCTGTCTGTTAATTAGTCTGCAGTGTGACATCGGTCTATATGTTGCACATGCTACGCTGAATCAGTCTGTGAGATGAATGAAATTACAGCAGCACACGTGGAGTACAGTGCTGTGCTGCTAGTTTATGTGTGAGGTGAATCATAGCATGTCGCTGTTCTTCTTGGTAGTTGTAGTCTATTTTGTGACATGGAGACAGCTCCTGGATGCAGATGACAGATGTGTTTAAAAAATGCAGCGACAACACAGACGTTTGATATACAAGACATATATAACAAGGACAAAGTGTCTGTGGCTCCTCCCTCTCTCGGCCTCTCTGTTGGTGTTCTGTGCAATAATATTAAAAGCCTACATAAATAAACATATGTTCAAACACTAGATTCACTTGAAAGGCCAACAGATGGAAAGCGACTTTTTACTAGGGCTGCAACTAACAATTATTTTCATTGTCGACTAATCTGTCGATTATTTCTTTGATTAGTCGACTAATCATTTTATTGAAAAATGTGTTAAAATGTGGAAAAATGTTGTTCTGTCTCTCCCAAACCCCAAAATTATGTCATCTAATGTCTTGTTTCGTACTCACGCCAAAGGGTTTTGATTCACCATCATGGGAGAGTGTGTAAAGCTCAAAATCATGTAGGAACAAGCAAGCACTCTCAAAATAAATACACTCGTAAAGTGCACAGCCAAAAACAGTGAAAAAGGGAAAAACGCAGATGTTTCGACAGAAAGTCTTCTTCACACACTGAAGAAGACTTTCTGTCGAAACGTCTGTTGTGTACTGGTACTGCCATCCAAGCTGGTTGATTAAACTTACTAAAAGGACATTTGAGAGTGCTGGCGTTTTTCCCTTTTAGAGTGTGTAAAGCTGCCAATATCTGAACGTAAGAAGCTGCAATAAAAGTATTTTGGGGTACTTTTATAGCACTTTTCTATGAAAAATGACTCAAACCGATTAGTCGACCGATTTACTTCCACCCACAAAGATTTTTAATTGTTCCAAACTACAATGGATTTAGACCTATGTATGTATGTATGTATATATATATATATATATATATATATATATATGTAGTGTGTTACAATGTCAGATGTTCATATCAAACGATTCAAATAATGAAGTAAAGTGTGGGCAAAAACCTCAGACTTCATATCATTCTGAATACTCTCCCTCCAACTTTTTACTTTCAAGACAAACTGACATCAGCTTGTGACAGATTTCTCCTGACAAGTGTTCACATTACGTAGCCTACACTGCTGCATGCAGCTACATGCTTACAACAGGAAAACATGTAATCTTGCTCGCCGATGTTTTTATGGTAGAAAATGCCCCTTTTTTCCATTACAGTCATTCCCCTGGCTGTGACGGTGACGGTAGAGTGACGGTACAGAGACAAAATATATGGCAGACCTGGAATTGCTGGCCACTTAGAGGAGACTTGGCTTTTTTCAGAGGTTGTCTTAAAGTGACAGGCACTAAAACTGAGTGTGTCAGACAGAGTGCCATCACAGGGTTTCCAGCACAGACAGTATGAGGAAAATAAAGTGTTTTTTTGAACATTTAAGTGTGTAAATAAATTTAAGTAGAAACTCATAATACAAGTATGAGCCTGAAAATTAGCAGAATAGGTCCCCTTTAAAATGTGAATTAATGTTTTTGGTTTTGTAAAAGTTAATCTGTCGTCAAGTGCTTCATCTATTCTGGTGTATTCTTTTGTTATTCTGGTGTATTCTTTTGTTATTTGCACAACAAAAATTGTGATTGTGACAATGATGATGATTCATAATGTTTTTATTTCATTCTCACAAAAGACAAGATGCTCTTCTTTTGGTTTTCTGCTTTCACTTTCAGTTCTTGTACTTTCCATTTGTTGTTTTCATCTGTCCTGCTCACTCATTCTCATTGGTCCCCCTCCACCGCTCTGTGCTGTGATTGGTCCAGCCCAACTGTTGGTGGGATGCTGAGCGTCAGGACTGTATTCCCTGTCGCTGCAGCCCCCACGGCTCTATGTCTCAGCGCTGTGACATCGAGGGCCGCTGCATCTGTCGCCCCGGCTTTGTGGGCCGACGCTGTGACCTGCGTCGCCAAGGTTACGAGAGGCGGGAGACCCGCAGGCCAGTGGAGCGTGTTCCCATAGAGGCCGTGCAGCAGAGATGGGGGGGGTCCTCCCGCACAGGGGGTTGTCCCAGGGGCGCGTACAGGCCTAGGACAGGGGTAACACACACTGCATGGTGTGTTTTAAGCAGCATGGGTGTGTTTTCTTGCTGTGTAGACATGTTAGATGAGGAACACATTTCTCGTGTGTATCAAGGATTAAACTCTTTGTGTTTATGATGGTTTGAGGCTTTAATTTTTAAACCGTTGCATGAGTAATTAGCACGGCTGTTTTAGTGTTTTTGTGTGAAAAATATTTCCATTTAAAGAAGTTGCTAAGTGTACGAAGTAATGCAAGGTCACGAGTGCAGCATTAAGGGAAACATACACATAATGAGCAATCTTTAACATGTTTTAATATCAATGTGCCAATGAGGTGTCATCAAAAACCTCTTTAAGTAACTTAAGATGTTTGTTGTTGGTGCTGTAAATGTCATTATTTTTATGATTTTTTTCTGAGGTAGCTGACGACTCATTCATTTTTTTTATCTGGTAACATTCAAAAGATTTGTTGAAATCATGTAGGCTGGCACATTGTAGCTTAAGGGGTAAAATTAGGGTCAAATTAAAATGAATAAGAATTCAGGTCAAGTCATCTTTCATGTCCTCTCTCCTTCCCGGAATATTATCCTGAGAAGACTGAAAATCTCAACAGATATAAAGAAAAACATTCCTTCATTTTTACCTCCTCACTCTTCAGAGACAAGTTTTGCAGTGTGTGCTGTTATAACCTCCATGTCTCTGATTTGCTAGAGTGTGTCTGCAACTTGTCTCACCCTGATTCCACTACTTTTTCTCAACTACCTGTTCCCTTTGTCTTTGTCTGTGTTCCTCCAGCCTCAGACTCACGGCATCAGCACAGGCGGAGCGTGTGTCCCGTGTCACTGCAACTCGTTTGGTTCCAAGTCGTTTGACTGTGACGAAACCGGTCAGTGTCGGTGCCAGCCGGGCGTCACCGGACCCAAATGCGACCGGTGTGCACGAGGATTCTTTAACTTCCAGGAGGGCGGCTGCACACGTAAGCACAGAAGGTGGAGGAGAGAGACCAGAGTGTTTGTTGAAAAAGTTGGCAATCACCCGCAGAACAAAAGAATAGCTCAATCCACTGGAACTCCTGACAAAATCAAACCTGTGTTTATACTGTAATTTGTAATGAAAGTCAGCAATCACAAAACTGCTGCTCCACTTTTCTGTCTTTTTAATCTAAAGTTTACACACATTGTCAGCAGAGCTATTCCATTAAAAAATAGCTATTGTGTAATTGTATTCCTTCATATCATGCTGGCAGTTTTATAATTATTGCAAACCTTTTTTCGCTCACAAGCAGACCACAGCTAAAAACCTCTCACACAAAACATCACAGCAAAATAGGACAAAATTATATAAATGTGAGCCGCTGGCTTTAGTTAAATGAGCGCTGCTTTGTCTTCAGACGTACAGTGCTTTGTCGGTGTAGGCATTTCCTCCTGTTTCAGCTTCTCATGGACATAACAAAGTTTGCATCTATACCGTACAGCAAATAACTTGTAATTTGAAATATCATCAGTTTCCTGCAGAAACCACGAACTTCTATCTTATTAAAGCCAGGCTCGCAGAAATAATGAAGACCTCATAATTTTATTGCCATCGATCATGTATTTCTGACATTACGCTGTGTTTTATAAATAGTTGTGCAATAATTTTCCCCGGGGTTATTAAACATGTGTTGGCAAAGGCTATAGCCACATCAAACAAAGCATCCACCCATACATGCACATATATATATATATATATATATATATATATATATATATATATATATATATATATATATATGTATATATATATATATTTAGATGATGGAAAGAACAAATGAAAGACAGAAGGAAGCAATAAAGAACGGTCAAATTCAAGTGCTGAAGAAAGATGAAATGTTGCCGGAGAAACTAGCTGCTGACTGATATGAATATCTTTGAAGGTTGAACACACAGATGGACAAGAAAACTGGTGGACAAGAAAAACAGCTGATAATTATCAAATGTGTTCAGTTTTATAGGGAAATACATGTTATGAATCATAAGGTTAATCAATAAATGTTAGGTAGAAAACACAGGACGTGAGATACCTGTGTTTTTGTTTTAGATTTCTATTTATTGACACTATGTTCCCACTTTAGTTCCGTAATTCCCATCTTGTTAGGATCAGTGCTTTATGTCCAACTGCAAACATTCCAGCCAATTCAATTTCTGCTGTTTTACCGAAATAGCTTTGTGCAGGAGCGGTGATTCAAAGTTAAATCAGCAGGGAGTTAACACCAAGCACATCCTTACTCACACCTCAAATTAAAGGTCAAGGTTTGCCTAAATTGTACAACATACCAGAGGGTCAAAGTTGCAGCGTGCTGGTATTGGATGTAGAGGATGGAATTCGTTTTGTAAATGGTGTGAAGTTTCTGTGTAAAACAGTAAGAGCCTCTACTCTAAAAGTAGAATATTTACACGTTGTTAATGTTGTTTTATTTATTTAATATCAGCAAGTTCTGCCAGTGGTAAAGGAAAGAATCATGTGTTACTGTGTGACACACTGACTCAGCAGCAACAACAGGTTATAAAGACAAAGATAGTTAGAAGCTAAAGCTGAACTATAGGCTACAGATCACAGTGTAAAAGTGAACCACCACATCACTGCTGATCGCCATTCCTGTACAGCAGGGTCGGTCTTTGTTTCACTGTTATAATCATTAAAAAGCAAAAGCAGCATGTGTATACATTCAGTAGGCTATATCTTCAGTAGCTAGCTAGCTAACCCTACACTTTTCAGGGTCTGATTTTGCTTTTGGAACAGGGAAGAAACGTATATCTTTTTCCAACCTCTCCAGGTAACGAGTATCATTAATACACGACGTGCCCCAGGCACAACATTTAGCTCCAAATCCACAACACCAGCCTGAAAATGAAGGAAATCTGAAAAGATTGCATCAGAGTCAATGGAGCACAGCTGTGTTATTGTTGTTGTTGGACCCTGGTCGGAGCTGTCCTGATGCTACGGTATGATTGGCCAGTCTGTGTCTAGGGGCGGGACTTAGCAAAGAGTCAGTTACTAGACTCTAGACTCTGGTTACTAGATACTGTAGGTACCATACCATATTCTACAAGTCAAATGTGGGTATATTATCAGAGTACTAGTCATTATTATCAATCACACGTGTCATTGGTAAACTGATCAAAAAGTTTACATCTGAAAGCAATTAACTGTTATCAACTGTTTGTTGCTAGAGCTGAGGATTTTCATTATCGTTCCCCCAGGGTGTGTCGAGTCATCTGAGAATACTTGAGTCATTTTCAGATGTCTATTATTAGACCGGAATATGTTCAAATTATTAAATCGTATGCCCTAAAAACTTGGCAACGCAGACAGCAGGTGCAGGAAACTTGGTGCTGCCCAAAATGAGGATTAAGCATCCGCGCACCCCCAAGTAAGACTATGAATAGCTTTTCCCACATATCTCCTTATGCAATTTATTATTGATGCCAACCGCTATTGACAGCCAAGAAGAACAGTCGTAAGTTAGCCAGAGAGCCTGATCATGCATCAGAAAGACAAGATAGGACTGGGAATTATTTGCTTTGATTCATCTTAACATCAGTGCCACAGTGCAGCTGTCAGGTTACAGACACAATATGCTGGCTGGTGTTTAATGTACCGCAGGCAAGTCAGAATACAAACATGATGCAGGCTGTGTCCAAAAAATGAAGTTATAGAGTGTCCACAACTAGCTTAAGAAGCATAACTTTGATTAACCATTAACAAAACAATGCAGCTCTCCTGTGAAGATGACCTCACATTTCATGAGCGTTAACATTTCTATTCAGCCAGCGTACAAAGCGAGAGTCCTCTGGCATCGGCTATTGTGTTTTCTCGGAAATGGTGATGATTGAGACAGTTAATTGGTAGTGAAATAAATTGAAATGAATGACACTGGGGGATTATGGGTGTTACTATAAACAGCTCAGTCTTTATGCAGTAACTCAATAAATTACCCTTTCAAATTCCTATAACTGAAGCTGTTTTATTTAATGATCGCTTGTCCGTATAATTTGGTATGCGCATAACATTCCCCCTCAGTATCAATCTCATAAACAGTTCACAATTTCTCTTTTGGTTTTTTGGAAAGTGACAAATAACAGTTAGATAAAGGCAGTGTTTTCTCTTCTTCACAAATTAACAGTACAACTAGAAACACACTGCCACCAAAACATTTCCCCTAAGGTTTGAGTTTCCAACAAAACGTGGCTCAGTGTGTTCAATCCCAGACACGTTGCTTTTGTTTCAATTTGGAGCCTGTTAGCCAGCGTGTCATGCTGAGAAAGCAAAGCTGTGTCACTTAAATATAGTCACTTTGATTTGTCTTCAGTTTATTCAAAGCCATTTAAAACGTACCTTGTCTCCTCTCCTGCAGCCTGCCAGTGCAGCCATGTGGGGAATAACTGTGACGCCAACACAGGGCAGTGTATCTGTCCTCCAAACACCATTGGTGAGAGGTGCGACCACTGTGCTCCCAACCACTGGGGCCATGATATTGTGACTGGATGCAAGGTAGGCTGGAAACTGTATTTGCAAAGAGCAGTTGCTAACATTTGTGTATCTTAGAGTACATGTAGTAAAACATGAATGGGCTCAGCAAACACACTAGAGGGACAGCATAAAAATTAGGCATATACTCTATTAGATAAAGATGAATTAACTTGTCTATATGTCAGTGAAAAACTAAAGCTAACTTTATCTCTTATGAGTCATTTCACTTTCCATTTTTTGAACATTGTCAGTCATGAAAAAATTCTGAGTTCTTTCAATTCTAATATAACCTCCTGAGACCCAAACATTTTTTTGGTTTCCATTAGTAGGACGTGATAAGTATAAAAAACTAAACATTGACACGATAATAAAGTCCCAATGTCGTCAAACGAGTACTTCCTAATTAACAGTGTCTTAGCTTCTTATTGTTGCTAAATTTGGTCAAATGTGTTGCCATATCAAACTACAAACATTATTAATCATAAAGAAACAAGTTTCAACCATAAAATGTGATCAGGTTTTGTACCTTGTCCACTTTTGTGTCGGGATCAGCTGCAGACTGACTTGGCAGAGATGGCTGCCATCTTGTTTTTACATGGATTTAGTATATTGTGCTCTTACTACCACTAGATGGCACAAAAAAGTGTCCACGAACGAGGACAACAGGTCTAAGTTAAGTAGAATGAAGTATAAGGTCAAGTAAACCCAAAATGCGATGTCCTCATATGAGGACACAGGGTCTCAGGAGGATATTGCTACTAGAAAAATGCTCTGTATCACTGGTTCCCAACCTGGAAGTCCAGACGCCAAACCTTCATTCACCGGGGGTCGCAAAATTTTCTTAGTTTTTTAAGTGGAGTAAGGAAACTTTTTTAAATTGTAAGTTGTTATTTATAAAATTAAGATTATGATTCAAGATATAAACCTAAACAAATCTCACAGGATAAGAGCACGGTGAAGACCTGAACACAAGCTGTACTCACAGAGTCTTCACCCGCTGCTAAACATCCTCATCTTGCATTAGAACACTTAATTAAAACAACAAAGAGCTAATAGAACAATGACCAAGAATCAGGGAGACCAAAACACTGAATTTGTCAAAAACTCATCTTTGGCATGTTGGTGCAGTGGTTAGCATTGTCGCCTCACAGCAAGAGGGTTCCTGGTTCGAACTCTTGGGTGGTGGGGGAACTCTGTGTGGAGTTTGCATGTTCTCCCCTGGTCACATCAAACTGTGTTCAAACTGTGTTGAATGATATTATATGAGATAAAGCAAGATAAATAAGCATGAGAGTCCACTTCCATCGCCCCGTGTGCAACCCAAACCTTTAAGAGCGGCACACAGCCTTAGAGGGGAAGAGACAAGAAACACTGCCGGTGCAGACGCCACTACAGTGAGAGGCTGGTGGTGGCCTGGTTTGAAACTTACACTGGACCTGTGCAACTGGAGACATCGACAAAAGCAGAGAGGCAGCCGGTTGTTCACCTAAATTGATAAATAGCTGAACTGAAATTATCCGAAGTGAACTGCTAAACTGAATAACTGCACCTTCAACATAAAAGAAGGAAGAAGAGGAAAAAGTCGCATTAACATTTGAGTGAAATCCAGTTACAACTCTGAGTAGTCAGAAACTGCACAGAATTTTAGACAGGACTTCACACTCCTTGTCAGCGTGGGTTTTCTCTGGGTACTCCAGCTTCCTCCCACAGTCCAAAGACATGCAGGTTAATTGGTGACTCTAAATTGTCCGTAGGTGTGAATGTGAGTGTGAATGGTTGTCTGTGTCTATGTGTCAGCCCTGTGATAGTCTGGTGACCTGTCCAGGGTGTACCCCACCCCTCCAGGCCCCCAACAACCCCTGACAGTTTAAGCGGTTACGGAAAATGAATGAATGAATCATCTTTGATGTGATATATTCACAGGAGATAATCTGCTCAGAATTCATCCACATTGATCATTTTACACACATTTCCTACAGTTATTGTGTTCACTATTTGTGGTAATGTACATTTTATCAGTTACTCTGTACTCTTAGAGCTATGCATTAAATATAATATGAAACATCCATAAAACATGTCACTTGATCTGGGTGTGTCAGTTCAATCAATGGTAGAAAAAGTGTTCTTTAAGGAAGAGATTAGGAACCACTGCTCTGTGTATTAATCAACATAGACACGGAATAAATTCTCACATAAATTGAACTCAATAAGAGCACAGTAAAGGTAATATAATAAAAGAAAAACACTTGGTCAAGTTTAAACATGCATGAGTCTTTATCTAGTTTGCCTTTTTGTATTCCAGCTGGTTACCATTTAGTTGTTTTCTTCACTATCATCTTTGCTGTTCAGTTTTCTCTCCGTCTTAGCTCCATTTCATCTTCATTCCCTCTCTTATGTTCCGCTCCTTCCTGTGTGCTCTCCGCTCTCTCTCCTCCCATACTGTTCTCTTATTATCACAGCGCTTGTTTACACAGTCTTCTCTCTGTATTCCCTCCTCTTTATCACCTTTCTTTCTGTGACTCTTATCGCTCCCATTTCCTCTACTTCTGTGTTTTGCAACACGACTTTGTTCAAAGTGTTTGTAAAGTAATTGTTCTGCTCTGAAACCATCTCACCAAAGGGCCGCGAGGTAGCAATAACAGTAAACTATTAGAGGTAGCAATAGACTATTAGCAATTAGAGGCTTGAACATGAAAGTACTGTAAGTCTCAGTTTAACAGCCGATTGATCCAGAAAGGGTACATCGGGACAACAAAGAGGGATGAAACGCATCTTAGTGGTTCAAAACAAACATAAAAAGGTACCAAAGACAACAGAACAAAGTAAAAACATAGGAACAGAACAGTCAGTGAAGTACAGCAAAAGAAATAACAAGCCAGAACTGAGCAAAATACGTACACACAGCATATTCTTAAAGGGATACTTCACCCACAAAATCATCATGCATGCCTTTACGGGAAAGGAAGAATCCAAAAGCTGAGAAAATTCTTGATGATTTCCAGTAAGAGGGGTACACCTTTAACAACAGCAAAGCTATATCAAAACATCTGTTTACGAACTCTCACACATCTCATGCAGTATAATCCAAGTTTCATTTATCCAGGCTTATTTTCAGTCCTTCTCAAACACATGCGTTTTCACCAAAGGTATTCGTATTTAAAACTGAACTAAAAGTGATTCTTATCTATTCTCTTTTCAAAGCCAACCTTCATTCACAAAAACAGTGAGTTAACCTTGCTGAACACAGGAAGACTGCTGGTCTACCCTGGCCTTGATCAGTTTGTTTGTGTTATTGTGTGACTTTGGTGTTTTAAAGGGTTAGTTCGGATTCACCATAGCATACATAAATTTTACTTTCAGTTCAGTTTCCCGTCAAAAGGGGCTGGCTGATTGGATAAACGAGACTTGGATTATACTGCACAAGTTGTGTGAGTGTTTGTAGATGGACGTTTTGATATTTTTGCTGTTGTTATCCCCTATGACTTCAGTTCATCAAGAATTGTCTCCTTTTTTGGATTCTTTGTTCACTCTGGATTCTTCACAGATTTGAGGGGTGTTCATTTGGGGGGTGAAGTACTTCTTGAAGTATGAAACATTTAAGTCATTTAAGGTTACAAAGAGGTTAATGTTTAACACTTGACAAAAAGCCATAGCCACAAAATGTCAAAATCAACACTTAATCATATTGACAGTGAAAGACTATTGCCTCTGTTAACCATTTGAGCAACAAAAGAAATAATGACCCCAAAAATTAGCAAGAAATTAGTAAAAAGAGAAAATTAAGAACCAGAAAATTTGTAAAAAATAAATGAAAAATAAAAGAAAGAAAGCAAAACTTAAAAACAAACATGAAAAATGACCTGAAAAGAGTGCTTAGATTTATAATAATTCTATAACATAATTCTAAAATGTAATAATAATAAAAATTAAAAATATAATTTTTCTCTAGCTTTTCCTTTTTTCTCTAGTTTTTGAAAAAGAATAATTTTCTAAATCATGTTTTTGAAAGAAATCGCTGAAGGTTGAAAGGTTTTAATACTAGCGAAAAGCGCCTGAAAGCAGCACAAGAAATATGATGTTACTCCAGGTTTCAAAGGGTTAAAGAGTTTAAAATCACCAGTCATTGTTAACTCTTTGCCGGCTTAACCCTCTCATATAAACTCTGGAAAAAGTTAATTAACACTGACTACCGCAGTTGTTTTCATTTAACCAGACACACATTTACAACTGATGTATGAAAAAGAAGAAGGACTGTCCTATTCGTAAACAGAGATATCAAAATGTAACAAAAGGTAGTCCAAACTAAGAGTCTGAGGCACTCTGGGGTAGTGTAAAAAGCCTTTAATAAAATGGGGATATCAACGCGTTTCGACTATACAAGTCTTCATCAGGATATGACACATTTACAACTGTTGAGCTTATGATTGTGCAGCTTTTCTTGCAGCACATATGAAAGTTGTCTGTTTTTATGGTGTTTTCATCAATATCATATTTTAGAAGAACAAAACAGTGATTCCAGAGAGAAGCAGACAGAGGGGTCTACAGTCTGTGTTTGAAGGATATATCCAGGATGTCAAACTGACTCAGCAGCAACAACAGGTTAAAAAGACAAAGATAGTTAGAAGCTAAAGCCGAACTATAGGCTACAGATCACAGTGTAAAAGTGAACCACCACATCACTGCTGATCGCCACACAAGACAATGAATATAAAGAGAAACT